TCTTCTCTACATCTAGGCTGCTTGCGAATCTACTTTGAATTTTCGATTTTGGCTCCACCCACCTCCACCACCTGTTGGCACTCAACCACTCTCCCTCTGCTAGTCTTTGTCCACTTTTCTCGGTTTCCATAAGGTTCTGGAACAGGGCAGTGCATTTTCGGGCGCATTCGCAAGATAAGGGGCGTCCTCTAGAACTAATGGGAAGTGACTAGACAGGAAAAGGAAAACTGCTCATGCAGCTTGTAATTTATTCCCGTCTCGGACATATCCCCGTTCTCAGCAAAAGAAGAGGTGTTTCACGCAGTGTCAAATGCCATGCCACCACAGTGACCCCGTATCTTACGATAGCGTTGATTTTTGTAAACCAGTTTAGCTCCGCACACTACTCTGTGCATGACACGGAAGGACTTCGTAAAGCTGGCCAGCCGACGGAGCGTTAGAGTCCGCCGTCCGTTAGCTGGATTTCCATAGAATGCCCACTTTTAGGCCATGTCTGATACGCGCGGTGGAGTGCGGAGCTAAAGTGGTGTCTGTAAACAGCCACCATGCATTGGATGTCAGGATGATTTAGCGGTCGAATAATATTGATGCCAATGATTTTGCAATAGAAATACCCATTATCGTATATCGCTAAACATCCATCATACATCTTAGGGACTTTGGGAATGTAGCGGTCGAACGGTATTTTATGTTGATGACAACAACGCAATGAGATGATACTGAAGTGAAATGCGTTATCTAGAATATGGTTTTAAGTGGTCTCTATGTTCCTACGAATATCGTAATTATCGGCCTTATCGGCCCTTATCACTTCCTGTACCCCACCGAACATGTTCCCGTCCCACCCTGTACATCACTTCTTGGAACCAACGCCCCACTGCTGCTGGGACGCGCGCTATGAATTTCGTGAAATTTGCGTTTCAGCGCCTCTTATCAGATCTTATCAGTCGTTATCACTTTCTGAACCCCACCAAATATGTTCCGTCCCACCCCCTACACCATACTCAAATACAGCGC